ATTCAAATTCAATCAGGAGCTCCAACAAACATCCCAGATCTGAAGACCATATGCAAAAAAGAATGGAGCAAAATACCAACTAAAATTTGCAACTCATGAATTGAAAACTAGAAGAGGTTGGTTGCTGTAGAAGTGAATAATGGTTATTCTACAAAATATTAAATGAAGATTATGTATTCTTTTTTGTATTGTACGCATACTTTTTTCACCAATTAAAATAGATAAATAGGAATTATTTCTATTAAATCAAATTTTCTGTTTTCTATGCAAATTTCATTATTATGCATCTGTGTACAGTTAATTATATGGAAAGTATGTCTATTCATTTGTTGGAAAAGCAATAAATTAAAAATTTGTAGGTGTACAAATATTTGTTTCATTCCACTGTGTGTGGGTATATATATATATATATATCATAAATAAATGTACATTTGGGCATAACCTTTCTTTTAAACATCTTTCATTAAATATGACAGAGAAGTAAAATTTTATTAATTTTTTATTTAGTTTTTCCAGCATTCTTGCATTTTCCCATTTGCTGGGAATGAGGGAATGCAAAAAATGTCCATATTAATAGAAATATCCTAAGTGCTTTCAGCCACTTCCTTAGCCATATTCAAGTGAGTTTTGTTTTGGTGTTGCTAATTTCTTTTCATGTTTTGAATGTTTAAGATGTATTTTAATTTCCTGCTGTTTTGAATACAAGTACGAGCATTTATTCCGAGCTTTCATGTGTTGAGTGCAGCTAGAATTCAAGTGAGCAGCTTTCTAGTTTAGTTTTTGTACTTCCACCAAATAGAAAAATGTAAGAACGCTGGAAAAACTAAATAAAATTTAAAAATCTTTCTTGTCCATCATATTCAATGATGTTAGCTCTATCTCTGATATTGAGTGCTTTCTAATAAGTACCGCACATATAATATATATATATATAATATATATATATATATATATATATATATATTTATATACACACACACACACACATATATATATATGCCAAAATACCTGCAAATTTCCATTTACACATCGCCAGACACAAAATAGTAAATTAGAAAACCATTCATAAAGTTTTAAGATATAGATCCAATTTAGTAAAGTTTATTTTTAAAACCAATTTTAATTAATTTACATCAGAAATCTGATTTCATTTTCTTTTATATGAGTGTGTCAGATAACAAGAAATACAATTTATTCAGTCAGTTAGTTATGTGCCATGTGTGATACATGCTTAGGCGATCATGTATCTTTTGATACATGACTGACAAAGCAAATTTTTTTTTTTTTTGCCTGCAGTAGATTGCCATTTCTTTCTGCGGTAGACCAGCTGCCATCCAAGGCTATAGAACCCAGTTTGTCCTGCTATTTACCTATAATTAGAGGGGGAGAAGAAGAGGATTCATACCTTTCCCCAAGGGTATTAGTATGTAAGTAAATGTAATGGATCTGACTGGAATTTGAACTCACTGATTCCTCAATCCAAGCCACTATCCATTTTGTTTTTTGAGTCTACAGATTGAAATGAAAAATAAATTTGGCAGTGTCTGGGTTCAATATGTTCGACTACATTAGAAGACTTTTTAAGAAAAGTACAAATCCAATCATCCCTGCTTTCTGTCCAATCTTATTATGAATTTATCAATGGTATGATGACTGGGGAGAAAAAAAAAATGATTTGTAAGTGGAACTTAAATAAACTTATTAAGCAAATTGTCCCAGGAGTTAGTCATATCAGACACCACAAATTATCTGATCTAGGATCCTCATCGTTGTTGTTTTTCCACAAAGTATGATATATTCTCTGGCCTTCTTCACGTATGCTGCATTTAAGTTTAGTTTGTTTATTTTGTTTCATGGCATATCAACACCTCAATGAGTTATTTAATGCCATCAAGATTTTTAGGATAGGTTTGTATGAATAGAATATATATTAATATTTTTTTTTCCAGAAATGTATTGCTGGTATTTTTACAATAAAAATCTATTTTTATGCTTTCATAGTGTTTTGATCTCAGTTTGGGTGTTAACTATTTGACCATACCTGGGACCCTAACAGGTGCTGCTGCCACCCTGGGTCAGGGTGGACTTGGGAACAACAACAATTAAGAGGTGGTTCCACACTCATCAAAACCTCCCAATCAGAAGCCCTGCTGCTGGATGTAGTTTATTGTCACACCCAGGACATGCTGCATTTAATAGTTACTGAGTGTTGCCTAGTAGATTTTTTGGTGGGTAGGGAGTAGAAGATTTTAATGTTGGCATCTATGAGCTATGCCATTGCTACCGAGAAAAGGATGAAAAGGACTTAGTCACGCATAAAGACATATAATGATGACCAAAGAATAGAGCTGAGATTAAAAAAAAAAAAAAACAAAACAACAAAGATGGAGATACTAGTCTGAATAATTCATGGAATAATTTACTTCAAAGAAATATCTATATAGCTGGATGTTCACTCCAGAACACAAGTAGAATCTATAATCTGTAGCTAAAGATGCTGGAAAAATGGTGGGCTCCTCATTCTAAGGCTCTAGCAAGTACCCGACTCCTTCTCCTATACTTTGACTTTACAAGATTCAGATCAGACCAAAAATGAAGTACTTCTGGTATATATAGGCTGAAGCTAATCAAAACATACCTATCCAGCCTTGACAGAGTTCAGAATTGTTTATGCTGTTTTGCAGGGATTATTTATTTTCCACTCTGCAGCCTCTTTCCCCACAGATGTAAAGTTGCAAGCCTATCACTAATCAATATGTTTGACTGTCACAAGATTTTAAGCCTTTACTTTTTAAATAGAAAAGACTTTATAACAAATGTCGGATACAAGATTGGTTCATTTGTTGGTTGGTTAGTTGATTTTGTTTAGCATCAAACAACTTCTATGACTTATTTAATACCAAAATACAGATATTTTATACATATTTTTATACTTTCAGGATAAACATATGTTTTTCAGATATATAGCATGTAGATCATAAAATGTATTGTTGGTAATTTTACTATAAAAATGTATTTTTTATTTTTTTAGTGTTACATTGTCATTTTGTTACAAAAACATATTGGTCATTTTATTATAAAAAATGTGTTGATTTTTGTTTTTTTTGGGGGGGGGGGTCACAATTTGACCATAGTTGGGACCCTAACAGGCACTACCAACCAGGGTCAGTCAGGGTGGACCTGTGCAGACTGTTTCACACAGATGTAAAGTTACAAGTTGGTCACTAATCTATCACTATTTCCATGGCAAATGTTCAGACGAGCTCCATTCTTTAGTTCAACCAGTTTAGACTTTTACACCTAGAACTCTCACCATGTTACATCCATGGAATCAAATCACTCATTTCCTCCATATTCCAGTTATATAAGAAATTCCACTCAACTTCTTTACCAAAGAACTGCTCTTTTATAGAACAGATTCCTATGTAAATGCTTCCCAGAAGACTACAATCTTAACATTAAGTCAAGGGTCAATTGTTGTCTATCCTTATCTTTATAATATACACTTCTGCCTACCTTCTCTTACAATTATATCACATATATAATTCCATAATCCTCTACATTGACTGGCTCTTGAGCTTTGTATTGGGTGAGCTTTAGTTAGAAATAAAAAGAAATGTAAAAAACAGCTCAAATAAGAAATTATTCTTTTATATCTCTTGTAACCTAGAGAAGGTTACTGAATAAAATAATCAAACAAAGGTTGGTAATAAACAATAATATTTAGGACAAGAACAACACATACAATTTGCCAGCGGTGCATAGAAGTAGTAGTTAACTGCTAGAAGTGAGTCAAGTGAATTCTGCAATGAATCTCCAACTGCAAGATATCTACCAACCGCCCCACGCAGTCAGATGTGGCCCAAGGCCAAATTTAATGTTGGGAATCCAAACCCGTAGGCTTGGCCAAAAATTCCCCATAGACCCCATATAAAATGGGATTGAGCAGCTGTTTCCTGAGATGAGACTCTGCCCTTCGACATAGCCTTGTATGGGGATCCTCTCTGTCCAGAGGCAGAGAGTTTGACCAGCACAGCCAGAGACAAACCTCCAACTGCAGACCAACATACAGTATTTACGTGAATGAGGACATACCCATTATCGTCTGTAGGCATGCTACAACAATATCATAGACTAACTTAATTGTACTTAATAAGAAATCAAATTCTTTCTGTAAATAAAATGAGTCTTAGATAAGACCCGTGTCCTAGTTTTTAGAAGAGTACAAGTCCAGCTCATTTCTGACCTACTTATCTTACAATGATAATGACATCTGAAAGACTGTTTCTGAGAACAGGTGGCAAGTATTCAAGTTTTTTTTTTGTTTTCTTTCAGATAAATGTTATCATCTACACATTATGGAAATCAGAAATAACACTGGAATGACAACAAAAGATAAAATCCATTTACCCACAATTTATTAGCATGATCATCATTGGTTGAAGAAAAGATCTTCAACATGTCAGCATCAGAATATTCAATTTGAAATGGAAGTACAACAGACACTGGAACTATTAATAATAATTTAAATCAAAGATGTATTTATCTATTGTCCAGTTCATACTACTCCTTGGTCTTTTGAACAGGAGTAGAAGTTTATCCCTTATTTCCTGTTTAGGAATGGTTTTCTAGTTCCTTTCAAAAGCCTACTTCAACTCTATACTTCTAATATCTCTGCCTGAACTCTGACATTTTATTTGCTAATTAAATCTTGACTTTTTTCAAGTCTAGAATTATCTATCTTTGTAGTTATCTTGCCCTTTCTTACATTAATACAACTCTACACGGTAACCCTCTACCTTGAGTGGCCCTTGGGTCTTGTATTGAGTTAACAATAGGGAAAAAAATTAATTTAGGGATTCAAAAATTGTATGTTGTCAAGTTTTTATAATAGAAAGGGCCTAACTTCTTTGAAAATCAGAAGCTGAAATACTGGCTTTTAGCAATTGATTTTTTTTTTATAACTTAACCCTTGAAAAATTTTGGAGTGTAGGAAGTTGCTTACAGTACCCGGTGTTTGAAAGTGGTCCCCCATCTTATGTACTGACCAGGCTTAGTGCTGCTTAACTTCAGTGATCAAATGAGTACCAGTGTTTTCAGCAGGATTTGACCATAGGTAGCTTTTATCAAAGCTTGTCCACTTCCAATAAGAGATAGACAAATACATCAGCCACAAAGCAGGAATGAATTTGCTTGCTATTTTTTTTGTTTGTTTGTAACAGGAAAGGAAAAATAAAAAAAATTTGTTTGTCCAATTTGAGAAGTTGATGAGTGGTCTAAATAGTAAAATCTATAAAAACTGATTCTGTGTGGGTTGAGAGAAGCTCTGGTTTCTTATATTTTTGGAAAGACATAAGGGAGAGAGAAATAAAATATACTGGGGGAAGTTTTTAATTTATTTATAGCACTATTTACCTTGTTATCTTAATGCCAAACTCTTTTTAGTGGGGCAGAGGAAATTTGCCTAAATATTTTTCAATTTGGTTTAAAAACAATTTGAGTGTTTATCAACATGACAATCTTCATTGTCAATTATTCTAACAGACATTTCATTCTCCAACTGTCCAGTAAATTTTCTAATTTGTTTGTTTCTCTCTTTCAAATAATGTTGCAATGTTCACAAATGTCAAGGTTTTATAACAAGATTCAGTGATTCATTTTAAGTGAAAAAGACTTTCCGGTGCATGGCTAGGAATTTCTTGTTGGTACTAAATGTTAAATTGCAGAGTTTTTAAATGTGCCATGTTCACCATAAAAATAACATCATTAAGACAACACTTCACAAAAAAAAAAGAAAACTTAATTGGTTCAAAGTAATTAATGTGCTTGATGATTGTTCATTTTTGTTTGACTGTCACAAGATTTTAAGCCTTTACTTTTTAAATTGAAAAGACTTTATAACAAATGTCAGATACAAGATTGGTTGGTTAGTTTGTCCGTTGGCTGGTTGGTTGATTTCATTTAGCATCATATCAACCTCTATGGCTTATTTAATACTGAAATACAGATATTTTGTACATATTTTTATACTTTCAGGGTAAATGTATGTTTTTCTTATATATAGTTTGTAGATTATAAAATGTATTGTTTGTAATTTTTACTATAAAAATGTATTTTTATATTTTTTTAGTGTTACATTGATTGTCATTTTGCTACAAAAATATATTGGTCATTTTATTATAAAAAAATTGGTGTTTATTTTTGTTTGGGGGGTTCACAATTTGACCATAGTTGGGACCCTAACAGGCACTACCAACCAGGGTCAGTCAGAGTGGGCCTGTGAAAAACAGCAGTTAAGAGGTGGTTTCATGCTCCTCAAATCCTCTAATCACCTGATCAGAGGCTTTGCTGCCAGATGTAGTTTATCGTCATACCCAGGACGATCAGATACAAGAAACATGTCTCTTGATTCAAAATTAGATTTCATACAAAGATTTTTAAACAAAAATATTCAATGTCTATCAATTCTCCAATTCCAATTGTTGCCCTCATTTTTCTTATAGTTCCAGTGTTTCAGACATTCTACTTTCTGGTCTTCATCAGGTGCTTGTCACATTCAATTACCTTTTCAGAATTTCAAACCAATCTACAAAGCTAGACTGGTACTCATTCTTCCGTCCATGCCAAAGAATAACACCTCTTTGTTAGTTCATCTTTCTTGTTGAAGAAATGGTCCAAGTCAGACTAAACAGAGTGACAAAAAAAAAATTTGCACATGTAAATGACAGTCATAAGATGACAGAATAAATTTCAAGAAGGTAACATTTTATATTTTGGGTTTTATATAATAGATAAAAAAGAGAAAATATAATAGACTAATATATATCCAAAACAAAGAAGATATTAAAAGTTATCAATTATGGGTGTGATACACTGTGGGTGTGTTCATTCAATAAGGAGAAAGATATCCCCATGCACAGTGGAAGGTGTCATTGCGATAAGCATGTTAAGTGGAAATGAGAGAGAAAGACAAGAAGTATCTCGTTTTTATAGCTGCTTAACAGTGCCCTCTAACGATGTCTTAGCAAAGACAAGTGGGTGAGGAGTAAGCCACATTCTAGGTGTTTCTTTGAAATAAGAAAAAGGAGACAAAAATCTGTTACAAAAACAGATTTTTGTAAACTGCTTAGTGTTGGGACTGAACTGACAACTTCAAAGTTTTTGATCAACAAACTAACAGTGAGAAACGGATTTTTTTTTTTTGTTTGGACAACCATGGGACAGTGAAGCAAATTTAAAATGTTTATCCCCTAGAAAACACATTGCATGTAAATTGGATACATTTCCTTGTTCATATGAGATAACTTGTTTCTTTTGGGAGATTAAACTAACAACAGAGGTAATTAAAATTGTACCCTTTCCCCATCCAAATATTGTACCCTCATCCCACCCAAATATTAGTTGTAAGGTACGGGAGGTTGACAGTGAGAATTTCACCTGCCAAAAGTTGATGACATTTTTCTTTCTTGTCCAAACAGACAATTTTGGGTCATAGGTGTTTGTTTTGTCACAAAGGCAACAAATTCAGTCGATCTGTACAAACAATCATGAATGTTTGAATTGAAATTATAAATAGCTTTTAGAAAACAAAAACTGACAATTAACAAGGACTTTTTATCACCTGCTTGTAAAATATTGAAATCTGTTGAGAGAAAATATCTAGTGATTTGTATCCTATTACAAATATTTTATCTAATATTAATTTTGTGTTGTAGAAATGGTAAGAGTGAGAATAAAAGAAAAGGATTTAAAAGTCTTGAACATATTGTAATAGAAACAATAACAAAATCATATCTCAATTTATTTGTATATCATAAAAAAATGTCTCAAAGTAAATGAATTTTAGCAAATTGTAAGTGAAATGAGTCAATTGAAGACCAGCACCACCTTTTCCTCTATTAGACATAGCATGTAGCATTTGTTGGTCTTTAAACACTATGGATTTGCACCCAGGGATTTTTTTTTTAATTCAGCTTGTGGTGGTTGTACAGTATCTGTTTTATCAATCAAGCAGAGGGTGCAGGTTTAGGAAAGATAATTTTTGTGAAATCAACAGTTGCCCAATGCAGCATATCTCCCCTCTCTATGCTATTTATGTCAACTAAAGGAAGGAAGAGTGAGTCAATACTGCTCAGCACTGGTGTTGTCACAGGAGATGACAGAACATCATTGGCTGTAACGTTTGACTGCCTTTGGGAACAAACCTTTGGGACACCAAAAATTACATTCATAGCTTTTATCACTTTTTGAGCATTTAGTTTAAAAAATTATTCGAAAAATGTACAGAAATACCTAATTTCTGTAGGTTTTTGCTTGCAAACTAACTTTAGAATTTTACTATTTAAAAATAAATCCAAATAAAGTCAATGCCTTCTGTATTAGACATATTGAATGGAAAATATATTCAAACCAGAATTCCAATTATGAATCACCACAAGCAAAATATGCAATTTTTTACTGTATTCAGTAGGTAAAAGCTGTATAAAAAAAAAATTGTAAAAGATTACAAAAAAGATTATTCAATGAATAAGATTTGTTAGATCATAATTAATAAAAAACAAAAAAAGAGATAAAAGTAACACTATAATACTGCTGGGCACAAATTATAAGACAAAATGTTTTAAATTTGCATAGTTTATTGAAAATTGCACTAAAACTACTGCACGGTATAATACATCATAATATAGCTAAAATGTTCAATATAATTTCCCTTTGAAGTAAATGAAGGTCTTATTTGATGACACAATGATTTAGTAATAATGTGCTTGTGCCATGCATCTTGTCCATATACAATTTGTAAAGATTGAGTAAATTAAAAATCTTATAAGACTTACATTACTGGAATGTAATTTAAACACTATGATTTTGAACCTAAACTTAATCTTTAAGCTTGTTTCCTAGGAAAATGGCAATGATTTGGATAAAAATATTTTATGTCTTTATTTATCATGTCAAACCACAACTTTTAAACTGAATGCAATACCACGGTTCTAAAACTGACCTGCCCTAGTGTCACAGTTGGATGTCTGGTCTCCATGAATAGCTTCTTGGTGTGCTCATCATATGGCGTGTCTTGGGCCTGGCCTTTTAACACATATATATTATACTTTAAATGTTATATTTAGTAGATACAACATGTGTTTGAGCAGACATACCTGTTATTTTTTTCTTTTTAGCAGTGTAAATCTGTGTCTACCAGCTTGTGCATTCAAGAGTCCTAATAAAGAAAATGTGCTTTCTGGCAGGATTCAAAGTTAATTTTAAATTACAAAAAAGAAAAAAAAAAGATTGAAATCAAAACTAGAACTGATAACAGTAGGAATGTCTCAGAAATTGATAAAATTTACTTTATCTTACAAAAGCAAAATTTCATATCTCTGAAGAAATATTTTTTCATTTTTATCAGCATTAACAGGTAAAAGTTAAAGTTTTGAATGCTGATTTTTCAGACAAACCTCCCTGCCCATTCCAATCGATTAAAACATTGAAAGAACACCTCAATGTGGTGTAATGGTTAGTAAGCTTGTCTCATCATTAGAGCAATTACGATTGGATAGTGATCTTTGATCTTCACTGGACTCCCTCTTACTTTCAGCCTTGTGCCACATCTAAGCTAGGCTTAGAAAAACACTATTAATACATTGAAGAGCAACAAAGGTGCAAAATGGCAAAAAATAATAGAAAATTAATAGAATCAGCAAACATGATTAACAACCATGTCATTTACTTTCATAAGAAAGTCATGAATCCATGTGTCATATCAAACATCTTAAGGGGTTTTATCACCAGCCTATAACAGAGAAAAGGGAAGGTGATACTGCAAAAGTCTCTCTTAATAATTGAATGTAATCTAATTCACAAGAATTGAAGACAGGTGTCATAGTTAGAAACTATGGAAAGATATCTAACCACAGAGCAAGAGCTAGTGGAATTAATGTTTCCGAGTGATCCACTATTATGACCCTGTGCCATATCAAGCTTAAATTAGTTGATGTTTTCTGGCAAAATTAAGCATATATTCACCACTTACTGTGATCAAGGAAAGAGCTGCTAGAGGCTTTAATAGTTTGTTTTTTTTAACAATGATGTTCAACTCTGTATGAGGCCCAAGAGCC